CAATCTTTTTTGTCAGAACTATTGCCCATCTCTATATCAAGTTCAAATTTAACTGATTGCTTTTGACTTCACCTATATGCTTAAGCTTCTGTTTCAAAAAATCAGTGGAAAGGCGTCGAGATGGTTGGTTCGATTCAAGTTCATGAAACTTTAAGGATGAAAAAGTAGTTAGCAGTGCATCATGGTACCTCAGGTCCTGTCTGTCAAGGTCGAGGTCACAGCATAGGTCATTGTAGAGATGATGTTGTGCATAATCACTGTATGACAGCACATCGTTGATGAACTTTGCTTATGTATACATTATGACAAGATCATATAACAGTAAAGGACGTGTATTGTGCTGTATTGTCTCCCCTTGATTGAGTGTATCAGTATTTTTCAACTTCGTTGGAATACAAGCTCCCTGAGTGTTAATGGTATATTGCTTATCAGATTTCATATACATTTTCTTTTATTGTGTATAAAAATCTTGTCTGGGTCATAACTTCTAAACCATGAAATATATATTGATCAAGCTTAAGTATATCTGCATCACTCAAAGAAAGTGTACAGTTCACCGTGGTTATGTCACCTTGACCTTCACCTGTAGGTCAAAGGTCATACAGGTGCAATAGTGAATTCTTGTCAATACTTAAATTTATAAACTGTTATATTTAGATGAAGGACAAGGTGTAAGCTACTTTCATCCACAGGTGTGTTGTACAATATACCAAGGTAGCCATTGGCCTTCACCTCTAGGTCAAAGATCAAAAACATGCATATGTTGGTGCAATTTTTTCAGTGAAATCTTGCATTGTCCAGGCTGCAATTTTTTATCTTGATCACAGAAGGTGTGCAGTGCACTAGGATCCCATCACAAACATAAGTCAGTGGTCAAACAAGTGCAATGACTTCTTGTCGTGGCTGTGATTTTATTCTTTAAGCGTTATCTGCATGCAACACAGAACAAGTAGTTCATCACAATTCCACCACCCACTATCGGCTAATAAGAGGGAAAATGTTTTTGTTAACAAAAACAAATCTCTAGTTTCCATAACTGCTGCAGTTCTGTGGACTTAACTTCACAGCCTAAACTTATTGTATCAGTCCTTTTGAATAAAGAAAGTCTGATACTCTGTTTTTTTGGGGGGGTCAAGGGTAGTGAATTAGTTGATAAAATTGTTTTTATACCCTGTACCCTTTCAACAGACAAAACTTAAGATTTAAACTTTTTACAGTTGCACCTTGATGAACCTGAAAACTTACAAACAGCACCCACATGTAGTATGAATTTTGAGTATCTATTGTACATACATGGAAATTAACATAATTCCAGGTTGAAAAGTATTTTATACGGAAGGTTGCATACTTAAGCAATTTCTGTTCTGGAATTTTTTGTTATAGTTAACTTGTAAAATGCCTGATGAAATTGTTGGTCAAAATTTGATAGAAACGGCTCAATGATCATGAAAACCCTCCAACATACAACCAGACATGGTAGTTTGAAAGGAGGCGTTATTAATAGTAAGCTGTTTACTAAAAAAACATTGTCATAATAAGGTCCCCCCTCAGTACAGAGGCTTCAAGTTAACTCATTCACCACTGAATTTTCATGATGCACTATTCCAACCATTGAACTAGAAGAGTGCAAATGTGTCTACAGATTTGAATGAGTTGAGGGTGAAAGTTAAACCGCAAAAAAAAAAAAAATGGCAAAAGTTCGGTTAAATTTACACAGGCTACTTTAATTCTTACTGAATTAATAGAAACCAGATCTTAAGCAGTTATTAGGCAAGTCAGGTTAATTTAGTTCCAATCATTCCACTAAAAGGGCTGTAATAAGGGGGCAGAATTAAATGTTTCATCCTTAAGAATGTACTTAGATTAGGATTCCGTTTGGGTTATAAGGGCCATGATATATATATTAATGGAAAGAAAGGTCATGCCAAAATCTATCATTTGAATGGGTTAAAAAACCATCTGGACAAAGATGATAGTTATGCAGTCAAACTTGTCAACACTTAAGCTCACTTTACATGAAGTACCTTTATTTGTTATTCCCTGCTTAACGTTCAGCATTTAGGGAAATGTCAACAACTGGTTCACCTGTTGTCAGTATGATGTGACCGGGCGGGATGCTGTGCTGGGTGCCTTTGGCATGGTATTTCAGTGAGATGGCACTATAAAGTCGGCATCAGATCCGCACTATCACAAGGAGGCATGAAAACAACATGCCCTGTCTCCTGCATACACGCACACAAGCACGCATACACTACACACATGGAGGCACGTCCTTAGATGACATTAGCTGTTAATAGGACGTTTAAACAAAATTAAACAAACCACTATCTGTTATCAAATTCTTCTTTCAATGATTTGTAAGAGCTAAGAGGCCTAAAGACACCAAACTCGACCAGTAGCTTGAAGAAATTGTCATGAAATTTACTCAAATGATTGACCTTGACCTACTTTCTAGGCTACAGTACTTGAATAATTTGCCATGTTAACAGTTATCAAATAATTTAGGCTGTAACTAGGACCTTGATCTTCTAATCAATGTCACAAAGTAAAAAGAATAAATCAAAGATACATAGAGTGATGATATTTGATCTGTAGCTTGCAGGAGTGAAGAGCTATTAACCATTATTGGACAAAACCAAACACTACTACATATACCCGTGTTATATCAACTACAACTTTCAAATAAAGAGACAAGAATGACCTGTTAGCGAAACTGACACTTTATTCAAAGCAAAAAGTTGAAGATTTTTATTAACTCGCCATCTGAAGGACCAAAGTGAGCTTATGCTGTATCGTGGCATATCTGTCCATCTGTCATACTCTTTCCTATCTTCCCTCTATCGATCAACAATTACTATAAACAAGCCGTGCTTCTGAATCCCTGATCAGAATTTCACCAAATTTGATGGTTGGGATTCATTATGTACAAATAGAGGGGCTGACATCATGGGCATGTCAAACAAACACTGTTATGCTCTTAAAATGTCTCTACCTTCCCCCCAGTATATACATACGCTGTGAATACAAATTTGATACACTTCTGTTACCAGGATTGACCTCCTGAGTCTGGCCCCAACCCTGGGACTTAAATATCCAGGTGAGCAATACAGGCTCTCTGCACCAGTTATGAAATCCTTAGAATACTGTTATGATGTTGCAATCTAAAAAAATCTCTGCTTGAGAATCTTCCTTTCCTATTTGAAATATGACTTCAGGTGCAAGGCTGCAAGTGTTAAACTATTCCAGTAGCAACAGAAGAGGGTTCAAGTGTATTATTGACTGGATATGGAATTAATCAGGTGTGTGAGATTTGAATCTAACATGGTCCTTACAAACCAGATAAATATCATGTCTGTTCATTAAAACTTCAAAACAACAATGATGGCCTGCTACAATGTACTGATATCATACCTGGGCTTGAGTGATGTATCACAACATACTGTCAACCCATAAGTGATGTCTGAAACCTTTCCCTAATGTAGGGATAAGGAAAAACAATCTCAACCCAAGGATAAGATTATTAAATTTCAAACCCATGTCTTTACCAAAGATTAAACATCCTCCAAAAAATCCCCTGAGGTTGAGCTTGTCTTTATCTTAGGGTGTGAACAGAGAAATTCTGACCTAGATGGTTGAAACACCTGTCCAACGTTGAAAAAATCTGTAAAATGGTTTCAGCTCTAAATGCCAATATTTTACTTGGAGCCCTACAAAATGATTTGATATGGATATAAAGTGAAACCTGGCTTAAGCGACAAAGGGGGACTGCATCATTCCAGCCTCATGGCAGAATGATAAGTTAAAATAAGTTGTTATCAAACACTTTTAAAATCCTATTTTTGAGAAATATCTGAAAATATACAAAACATTCATGTGTTTGAATGATAATTTTGAATTCCTATACATACAGGTTTATTCCTGAATTTCAATATCTTTTGAAAACATATTTGATTAAAGTTTTGTGTGAAGTTGTCATTAAACTATAATAAGGCTTTGAACTGTTTTTGTGTCCTGATATTGTTAAGGTCATGTGTCAAAGTCAGTTTTTTGCCATAAATATTAAAAGTTTAAAAAAAAAAGTGAAGCTTTGCATAAGGACTGATCCCAAACCATGCACGACAGAACTCTCATGTGATGGCCTGATGGAACACCAGCATGAAAGGCATGATGGGAAGACAATCTCACAAGACTGAGTCTGGGCCTCTACTCCTCGAGCAGAACGAGGGGTCATTTAGACAATGACATGAACAGTCGTTAAGCTCTGGATCAACCAAATTTGTCATTCTGTACGTTGATTCCTTTGAGAGAGAGAAAAAATTGTACCACAATACTGTATACAAAATGGAACGATTCAATTATAACTCGTCATTGGTTGGATGTGGTGATCAGATGAAATGCAGTCGGGGATATGTGACAGCTCCAGTAATTCTTGGATGTGTAGAACTTGCACTCAAATAAGATATCATTATATCAAATTCTGGTAACTAAAAGAAATCATTAAAATATTTACCAAGACAAATACTTAATTGCATCAACTAAACAATAAAGATTTATATTTTTTGGCGGTACTGTTAACCACCTTTTTTGGCAAGGGTGTAATTATCACATATTTATTCTCAAGGAGATTCATTTCATCCCAAATTTGAATTGCGCATATTATCAGTATTAAAATAGCATCTTGCCAATAGTGAATTTGAATATTTATGAATAAGATATCGCTATGTGTATTTCGTGAAAAAATGGTACATATGAAAATAAATTGATTTACAGTGGTTTCACAGCATGACGATAATCCATTTTGCCTTCCTATTGACAATGTGATGTTTTGGTTTTACTGACAAGTGGCAGGTTTCCATATTTATACTGTAAACAGTACAAGTTGTAATGATTTGGCCTTTGTGTATTCTAAAGTACACACACTGAATAAGATATCCTCTTTTGCAGTATGATGAGAATTTGGTCGTGATTATTTTAATCTTGCTTTTTTGTTGCTTACACAGAAACCAGCCGCCCCAATGCCAGAAGTTGGAGCCCAAGAGCGTCAAAATCAGGTACGTATGTAATTACACAAGTAATAGCATTAAAGTCTCGACCTAGTTCTGTATGTGTTTAAGTTGTTTAGACATTACAAATTTCCTAGAAAAACATCGTATTTAAAATTGAAAAATAATGAGTTCATGTTAACAGTACCTTTAAGGTAATTAGGGTATTTAAGTTAATGACATTTTACTATATTAGAGGAATAATTTCCATGTGGTTTTCCTATGAAACACTTTTCAAAAGTTGAACACAGTTTGAAGATGACGAAAGTTGAATTGATATGCATAGTTTGAACTCGAACCTGTGTCATATTGTTATATTAATGTTTTTCATCCACCCATATCCATATACTTGAAAAATATTCAAACAAAAAAAATCAAAAAAATCAGAAAATGAAAAAAAAGGGGAAGAAAACCTTACTTTAATTTATAATTCTTACTAACAGTCTGTGGATCTTGTCAACGCTAACATCTCGGAGGAAGATAAGATAAAGGCCATGATGTACCAATCCACTAAAGACTTTGACCCCACAAAGTGAGTATCTGAGAAAAATATACAGCTTCAACCGCCTGATTGTAAAAGTCTCATCAAACTCCAAAAGTTGATGATGTCAGAATGAAATAATTACCTATAAATACTTTTGTATATAGTTGTATTTAAGGAGTTATGCTACCTTATTTTTACATTCATCTATTTCCTTTTCATACGAGTTCAATTCTACGAAGCATTGTAAAAGATAATTTTGACTGTGCATATTTATTGATGATACATCTAAAATACAGAATTCCTAGGTTATGATGTTTGCAGTAATTTTGATATATTGGGAAATCCCTTTACACCTCCATTTTTCGTAATAAAAAACATTTTTAATTAATTTCGTCATCATGGCTGCCATTTCTTGTGAACCAACATATACATTTTTAGGTCACCTGAGACGAAGTCTCAAGTGACCTATTGCGATCGCCTTTTGTCCGTCGTCGTCCGTCGTGCGTCCGTAAACAATTTACATTTTCGACTTCTTCTCCAAAACCCCTGAACCAATTTCAATGAAATATTGTTGGGACCTTCCATGGACAAAGGTCAACAAAAAGAGTTGCCAGTTTAGTCCTAAGCCCCCAGGGGCCTGAGGGGCGGGGCCAAAAAGGGTCAAATTGACTAAAATTTCAAAAATCTTCTTCTCCAAAACCCCTGAACCAATTTCAATGAAATATTGTTGGGACCTTCCATGGACAAAGGTCAACAAAAAGAGTTGCCGGTTTAGTCCTAAGCCCCCAGGGGCCTGAGGGGCGGGGCCAAAAAGGGTCAAATTGACTAAAATTTCAAAAA